GTGGAGGACCAATGATGTGTTGTGAGCAGCATGGTCCGTGTATTATTGTAAGCCATACCAAGTGTGGAAATGTCGGTATATTTATTGTGATCGATGAGGTTGATACCGACATCAATCTTCATGTTGACATTGTCCTTAAATTAGCATATTATCTTTGGTTGAGTGGTCTCTCCATCTTCACCTACGTTATGATGGACGAGTCACGAGAGTGATGATGGAGGACGAAAAGTACGAACGCCGATCTGAAAGTGCATGAGCACGTGCATCACGTGGAACGGATGGAGGTGGCGAGTACAGTATAAAAGGCGGAACAACTCAGCACACAAGTCAGTATCACCTAAAGCAAGTAGACAGCAGAGGAAATGGGACTCTGGAGTTGGCCAAGCCCGTATGCGTTGAAGTTGGTAACTGTGGGTGAGAGTAAGTACGGCTCACAATATGTGAATCCGTGTGCATGGCCGTCCGTGGTGGTGGCGCAATGTGAGCAGCCATGTGCGTGGCCATCTGCGCTAGTGCCTCAATGTAAGGAGCCGTGTACGTGGCCGTCTGTGCTTGTACCCCAATGTGAGAAGCCGTGTGCTTGGCCGTCTGTAGCGGTACCTCAATGTGAGAAGCTGTGTTCGTTGCCATCTGTGCTGGTGTCGCAATGTGGCCAGTCGTGGGGATGGCCGTCACCGTGGTAGACAGGAACCGCGACTATCTTTGTGTTTGCACTGTGGTTTGTGAAAAAGTCTTCAACTTCCTTGGAATTGGAGCAGCTAGCTGACGGTGTGCAAGCACGCCTCTTGTACTTCCCTGCATTTGAAGCGAAATAGGTGCTACTCATTTCAGTTGTCTTGAGCATTTACTCAATTCATTACTGAGCATCATAATTTACGGGGTTGTTAATGCTAAGGGAGCAGCGGCAGCAGCAGAAAGCCACCAGATGAAAAGTATGTGGGGAATGTGATAAGACTCCTGAACTGGGTTATGTCACGTGGAAGCCGCAGCTGTGCTAAAGACACGCCTCGGGCAAATATCCTTAAGGAGAATAATTTGCATTTTTTGTGAAAACAGTTTATTTCACCGACCTGTTGTGAGCAGGTTTTATGCTGAATGTTGTATGTAAAAGGCAATAAAATGCGAAGCAAAGTAAGTTGGTGCATGTGAGTGAGCAATACGTAGAAATCGCATTTGCCTTCCACATAATCCGCTGTTGCAGTTGTTTCATTCAATTCAGCATGGTACTGAGGATGAAGTCGACTAAGCCGGCATATGTTTATCATACAAGTGCAAATGCAAACTTACATTGGATGTGTTGTCTGTGCCATGAGTTGAATGTTCTAGTACCAATTCTCCAATTTGCTGCAATGTGCATATGATGCGGAGATCAATGTGTGCTCGTTTATTATCTCAAAGAGACGAGTAGCACAAATCGCAGAGCATTATTATGCATTGGGTCCTGACGCATGCAGCGATCAGGTTTAGGGCTTTTGTTTAAAAGGGTATGCATTTTTTTAAATGCAAACCATTTTGTCACTTCCGATATGTTGTGGACAGCTGGAGAGGCCACCATGATATCCACTTGAAGATAAAGCACGTCAAATTTCTATTTTAATAGGAAATTCCTTTCAAATTAGCACACTCTATCCTTCGTATTCACCAATTTTTAAGAAATGCGAAGGCTTCAGCTTGTATGAATGCAAGTGTCTTTAAGCGCAATCAATATCGTTTACCTAATTAAAACTATGCAGCAAGTATAAAAAAAGTATTTTTTTAAGGGTTTCCTTATATATGGCCTCAAATAAAATCCACAAACCTACTTCAAGCTGCTATCAAAACGATTTTTTCATCGTAAAAGTTGATATACCACCTTCTTTTCTTCCGCTTTTGCACTTATCAAATCGACTACATCCAACTGTCCTAATGCACATACTTTGGCCTAAATTTATAGCTAATTTGGTGTAAGGAACAGTGCTAGCATGGAATGTCCTTGGTAGCACTCCACCGATCATCCTTCTGTCTAAGAGACCGTTGACAGTACCATTGAAATGGGTACTGGCGGGTGTATTTTTAAAGCGAACTGAAATTAACTTTAAAGATCAACATCGTGAAAGTATACTCAGCTTTGGACACTTCTCCGGGCAATGGGAGACCACTGAACACTGCAACAGTACCCCAAAGTTCATCCTTTTTGCTAGGCGAGTAAATTTACACCCCGAGTTCTAGGTCATTCACTCTAAAAGTCTCAAAATTTGTTTAGATTCTCATAAATTGCTAAAATTACGGATGTGGTTCATCTGCTAGGCATCCAAATTAATAAGAGGTTCAAATCAACTAAATGTGGTAAGAAATGCATCAAAACCAACAACAGCTTGCCATGTCAGAGAACAGTCAAGCCAGCCACAGTTAAAACTCAGTTTTCGGAGGACAAATAAATAAAATGCATAGCCAAATAGATTTACTACAGCTATACATAACCATAAATATTGACAATGCCCTCAAATTAACTTTGTGCCAAACGAAAGACTGCTTCAATTTTACCATTCAGCACGATTTTTCCAAACAACATCATTTTACTGAATAAATTAACAGGTTCTGACGGATGGATTCATCTTGCCTGACAAATTATGGATAGGTTCAATTTTCTATTTTTCACACTTAAATATTATAAGCAAGATTGATTTCAATGCATTTTGATTTATTCCAGCTTTGAATGCATTTGTATGCAAGAGCTCATACTATGGAAAGCTTGCCACCAAGTCCCATCCAATCGCATCAGTTGGCGCATAACGTAGAAACAAGCCGCGCCTTCTAATTGGCTTTTGATGTTACGTGCGAGAACCATACACCCGAGTGCACCAATAAAGAGACGAATCAGACTGAGTTGTAATGCTAACTAGAATCGTAGCGAACATATATCCCTCTTGGAGGTGACCGTACATTAGAAACAATGGAAGGACAATTGTTTCATTAACAAGAAAGCCAAATGTTACTTTGGTATTCCATTGACATGAATAGTGACATAAAATGGGCAACAGTTCTGATGCAGCAGACAG